TTTGAGGAGAGAAGACGGATAAGGAGACGAATAAGTCACAGGACTGGCGTTGGTGGGAGGAGAAGAGATGAGGGGAGGAGGATCTGAGATGTGGAGCCTTGGGGGGGGGGGTTGCCTCTGATGAGGGGCACGTCCTCACGGGCGCAGTCCCATTTTTTATTTCTAAAAGTAAACAGGCAGCCTGTGGGGGTCTGGAGGGTTATGGGAAAAGAGGAAACAGTGATGCTAATCAGGCCAGTGCACACTTCCCCCTCCAACAATAAAACAAAACAAGAGTGGAAACACGGAAAAGCGACAGACAACTGTGGAGGAATGGGCTAAACTGCTGCCATGGTCCTAGATTTGAACTGCACAGTGTGATGATAGTTCTGAGGCAAAAGGTGTTGGTCAACAAACAGAGGAAAGAGGCAATATGTTGCTGCTTATATTTGTAAGGTTTTGAAGTATTTTTAGAAATCTGAATTATTTGACACCTATTTCCACATAAGACTTCTGAGAAGTTACATATCCATTGAAATCAGGCATTTACAGTAGTGTCACTCTGGAATTTCTATCCCATTACTCAAAGTACAGCTTTGCTGAACTAAAAGGAAACCATCTCAAAGAATAACGTGTGGTGATGGTGAAAATGAATTTTCTTTTGATAAGCCATTTATTTAACTGTTTTTCCAAATAAATATTCTTGACCTTAAGAAATGTCTCTTATTTCCTCACACTAAAAGTTAGCATTTTAAGGGAATGTTCTCGCTCTAAAGCATCAGCCAAATAACCAGTTTTTAAAGGTCCCTGTCCCAGAGTTCTACGAATTTTGTTTCTAGGAAGTGTAAGTGTGGTAGGTTCCTCTTGATAGTGCGGTGACTAATTACAAACCACTTCGGTTGAAGAACACGCAGTTCTGAAACACATGCAATCACTGACGGGAGATGATGCAACAGATGCCAGCTCATCAGGAAAGGTGGTGCTTTAATGAATCCTTTAGAGATACCTCCCATTGTTTCATTGTTTATATCATGAGCTTAGCAATATTCACAGACTGTTAACTACAATGAGTGTACACCAGTAATGTTAAAAGTACCTCTTACTGTCTTTTGTAATGCATGTTCATTGTTGAATGTAGTCCATCCTGTAGTGGGTAAAGGTCAATTCTTCCCTATAATGGCTCAATATATAGAGCATCTATACAACAACCAGCAACTGTATTTTCATAGCAATTGTTATCTTTTCATAGTGTATGTACGCTTATTTTGAGTGTGGCTACTTACTATGTTCAACCTTCATTTATTCAATGAGAAATAAATTAAAACCGCAGAGTGATGTATTTTCCCTTCAGCTTCGAGGACTAGCTGAGCTTTATCTGAGAGCGTGGTGGTAACAGAGAGGAGGGAGGGCAAGACAAGAAGAGGGAGGTCTGGGAGGCAAAGAGACTCGGAGGGGGGTGGGGATAATTTAATTATCTGCACAATGGAGTGATGGGGGGCACGTGGTGCCGCTAATGGAGGAAGAGATGTCCTTTTTAGCGAAGCTAATTGTTCAGAAAAGAGCTGAGCCTTTGTTCAGGGAGGCCCTGCTACTTTCCCAGTGCACTTACATGCGCACGTTTTAGTAGTGCGCGCACACACACATGCACACACACACACACACACACACACACACACACTCTCAGAATAGACTTTGGAATGTGAGGCACAATAGAAATATATACACGCACAGTGCACATGCGAGTGAGCACACACACACAGGGTTACAGTGCTCCTGTCCCACCTAACCCTCTGATCTCAGCAGGAGTGCATCCAGCCTGTGGCACCTTCAGACAGCATCCACCACAGATAGGGCTGAGACTGAGCTACTAGACAGACACCACAACGACCCCGCTGTTTTACTGTTTTACTGTCTGCTCTCTCTCTGGCTCTGTGTGTGTGTCTGTGTGTCCATCACCCATCTCCGTGGGTGCTTGAATGTAAATGAGTGACTGATAGATTACATGCTAAATGATGTCTGTTCTCACAACATACCAAACCTGTCAGGCCACAATCATTATCTGAGGCATTTTACACTTTGATTTTGTTTCGAATTTGGTCATCTTTTCAGATGTTATGTTCGTAAATGTGAAAGAAAGTATATCTCTGAAATCTAAATACATAAAGCAAAACTCTTGCGACTTACTGCATAGGCACAAACATCAAAGGAAAATATCACTTGACAGGTGTATGGATTGCTCTAAATCGAATAACCTTTCAGTTAACTCTGTGAAAAGTAGCAGGTGCAACGGTTACATCTAAGAATTATAGACAGGCAGACAAAACAGATGTGCCAGCGAGAGACAGACAGCGAGAAGGAGAGAGCAGCGAGGAGAGAAAAAGCTGCTTTAGCTAGGGGTACTACATTGCCACGCAAATGAGTGAAGCCAGTTAACTGTCAAAACCATGGCAACAGCATATGCCAGGTGAAGAAAAGACACCCTGAAACCAAAACTTGTTTGATCTGAGACATGTGTCCTCAAGTGTGCTTGTACATACACTGGCTGGTTGTTTCATGAGTGTAAGACAATTAACAATAATCCCTCTGTCTAAATAGGAAATGACATAGTTTGTTTCAACAAAAGTTTTTTTGGGTTCGTATTGTGCAAATCTTTGACACAAGCAGTTCCTACAGTTGATATCAAGATCTCTATGAAGATAAACCAAACGCATTTAGCATTTAACCGTTCAAATCACTTTCCTCGTGTCAGTGTACTGCTCATAGAAATATGTTTGTCTTTAGGGTCATTGTACAGGAGTCTGTCTAAGGGCGATAGAAATGGTCATTGCTCTGAGAAACAGATCAGTAACATACCGTTCTGAGAAAACAGAAATATATTCAGATGTTTCCTAGAATTGGGAACTTAGAGCAACAATGCTTTATTTAATAACTTCATCAGAAAACTGCCCTTTTACTTTTTTTTTTTTTTACAATTTAACTTAAACAGTTTTCATCACATCAGTTTTAGTATGCGCTCTGAAAATGAATTGGTAAAAATACAATGTATGTGCTTGTAGGCCTATTTTAAAAATCTGGTGTGAAAAAGTGAAGACAGGGAGAAGAAATCCCAAATTGAAGTGGGCTACGGTGACGCCAGCCCAGATATTAGTCAGCAACACCATTAAACCCCTAATGGCTGCCCTTAGGCACAAAAGGATCCGGGCTGTCCTTTTAAGAACAGATATGAGGGAGTTCATTAATAGAAAACAAAGAGGTCCAGTCAGAGAGAGTGAGAGACTGACATAGATGAAGTGAGGTACCTTTCGCCTCCCCCTTCCATTCTTCTTCACCATCACCCCCTCTACTTTGCCTCTGGTGAGGCAGCTTCTCTCACCGCAGAACCCACCAGCACTCTTCCCAGACGATGCTCCTATCAGGCCAATGAAACCTGATCCAGGGCTGCTAATGGAGCCAGTGAAGTACCACCGGTTTAAAAATCCATGTGTGATCAATATTCCCGGCTCCCCAGCCTTCGTATACAGAAGCATACAGTGCATGCAGAAGTATCATATTGACATGCATCGTAGTAGCATCGTATGACTAACAAGGTAGCTTAAGATGACGTTTGATGTAAGGAAAAGGAGGGCGGATGCCATAGAGAAAACCATTTATTTTGCTTATTTAATGAACAAAATAGCCTATTCCATGCTTTTCCTTCACTATTTCTTGCTGGAGCTCAATTTTCTTGTTTTTGTTAAAAGCAGTAGGCTCCAGTGGAACTTGTGTGAGAATTACTATTATAATCTGTTATTACTGTTTCTGTTGCCATGGGAGGTGTTCCCTAATGGTAGCGGTCTGCTCAGAGTGGAGCCTTACTGCGGCTAAAAAGCCCAATATTTCTCTTGTCTTTTCTTTTTTCCAGTGGCAGAACAAATTCTTGATTCAATTTCCAGTAAGGCATGGCCATTGTTCCTGATTATTGTAGATAAGAAGGCACAAAAGTCTAAAAAAAAAGAAATCCAAACAGAGAATTATAACAGGCAGTTTGCCCTGTTCAAACTGAATTTTCATTGATGGTCTTCTTGACAGAAACCCAGCTGGAGTGATTTAAATATCCATACGACTGACCTCCTTTTAAACCATCCACTGTTTATAGTCCTCATTACCATAATACTGTACATATTTGCAAATATGTAGACTACCTCCTTACCAACACCTGATGCAGCTGTGTAAAGAAAAGAGACGGAGCTTGGTTTTATTGATCAGTACGAGGTGAACAGGAAATACTCTGTGGTGTTTATGAGGGTGAGTTACAAGTTATGAGGAAGCCTGGACCTACAGAATATAGGAAACAGACAGTCCAGACTCTCCCATTAGCTCATAGTTAACGGTTCTTCACACATAAGCTTTTAAGATCTACAACCATCACAACAGATTGCTTTCTTACTTACTCTAATGTATCACAATATTGTTCTTGAGATGTTCCTACAGGGGGGTTCACAGAGTGTCTAATATGGCCACCATTGTACTGTGTGTTTCTTCCCGTATACTATTCCTCTAACATTCCAGTACAATTCCCCCTATCGTGTAATTTGTATTTTAATATTTGTAAAACTTTGCTGCTTTTGGCATGAAAGATGCTGGAGTTGCTGAATTAACTGTCATATTTGACTAGTACTGTGGTCAAGCCTTACTACAGCTCTTTTGCAGGCTACTCAGCAGCTCTCACATCTCCAGTGTTTTTCATCCTGTTAAACCAGAGTAATTTGCGGGAACATGTAGACTCCTAAGAGCGTCTGATGACGTGAAAGGGTCTTGGTAGAAGTTGGTTCTCACAGAGATTTAGGGGAGGTGGTAGTAGTGCGTGTATGTGTGTGTGTGTGTGTGTGTGTGTGTGGTGTGTGGGGGGGGGGGGGGGGGGGCATTCTAATTGAATTGTGAATCAACTGGCGAGTCAGCCCCAAACACCGCCCCCTTCAGCTGTCGTCGCACTCCGTCTGTGCAATGCAACGCCCATAGCACAGAGATAGAGAGGAGGGAGTGAGTGAGTGAGTAAGAAAGAACGAGGAAAGGAGGGAGTGTGTGTACATGAACCGGAGAGGGAGAGAGGGAAAGAGAAAGACAAGTTAGGAGTACAAGAAACTGATTTTTAAGTGTGAGAGGAAAGGTAAAAAGAAATCGGCCTGTAGAATTGACCGGGGCGTCAAAGGAAGAGACGATTTTCCCTTATATTGTGTTTTTGGAGCTGTTAGAATAAAAGAGGGGACGCGGCGTTATTAAATCACACCGATCTGATGATCATGACGGCAGCTGTCGATATGAAACCGACGTTAACAATCATAAAGGCTGAAAAGATGGACGGTGAGTAATACAACTCTTCTGTGAGAGCTTGACAGCTAACACGAGACTAACATTACTCCTAAATGTTTGCTCGTAACATAACCAGCTGGTGGCAGATTACGTTGATGTAAGCTACAGTGATGATTGTTGGATGCGCTGAGAGGGACATACCGTCCTGAACGTATTTCAGTGTGAAGACGTTGTTGGTTGCTCAATATTGGACACCACGCAATACAGAAAAATGCAATCACGCCAGAGGCTCCACAGACTGGCAACAGCCTTCTTAACCTGCGTGTGTATGTATTGAATGAATCATACTGTGATTGGTGTGCCTTTTGTGATTTGTGTGAAACAAAGGCCCATATGAAAAAAAAAAAAAGTTATTTATACGTTTGTAGACATTCATCATAAAAGTAGACTTAATGATGGCACGTTGGCAAAAAAAGTGATTAGTTCATACAACAGTCATTTCCAGTTTATAAATATTCTTTCATGTAGCTACCAAACTTTTAGACACTGCATGCTTTAAAGTAGTCATGGGATAAACTAATTACATTCTTCAGTTTTATTTTTACTTATAATTAAGTTCTGTCACATTTTGTTTTGCCATGTGTGGCTCAAACTGACTATTGATACACGATTTATAGTTGATGTAGAAGTGATTTACCTCTCTGTCATCCTGCTTTGATCTCACTGGGGATCTGTTTCCATCTCCTTTATTTCTCTATCTAAGCACCCAACTCTGACCCTATATTCACTGCCACACAGGGAGAGCACGGGCATACTGCCCAGCATGGGAGACAGGCAGTAGTGCCTAATCACTCCCTCCCCACCAACCACACTGTCTTCTCTACCTCCCTTTCTTCTCCCCCTCCCTACCCCCTCCTGAAGTGGTCGAAACTGACTTTCCAGAGGGAAGGAGAGGCAGGCTGAGGTGATGAATCTGCAGTGCTGAGGCTTGCCTCTCTGACCCTGCCTAGAAGACTTGGCTTACTCCAGGGGTAGTCCAGGAACACACAGGGAAGTTCACAACTGTGAGCTGTGTTCGGTTTTAAACCTTTGAGTGGTTTCACTTCTCATCTTTACACAGAGCGATGTTCCACATGGCGGCATGTTTGGATAATTTGCATTGTGCAGCGTTTTACATGAACTAATCCCCTGTGCTTTTTTTGCAGCTCAGGTGGCGATGAGCCTATTAGTAGAGCAGTAAGCAACATTGGTGCATTATGGAAATTTGATACTAATTGCTAGTGTTGACCCACTAAGGGGCTGTGACTCACCACATTATTTTAACGTTGTCAATACCTGCAAAGCACAGATTCACACGTGCGCGCGCACACACACACAACTCACAGAAAAAGTGCTGACAGCTGCAGTTAAGTTGCCACAGCATAGCGCTATCTTGCAAAACCATTTCGCAATGCCTGCTCCTGCTTATGCTCACTTGGGTGCACTCGGGTCAAGCTGACGGAGGAGCAGTTCACAACTTCACACAAACACATATTTTTTCCATGTTTCTCTCAAACACAGACACATGCTGTTCTGTTCACTCCTTGGTATTACCATGCCTACAAGACAAGCGTACTACTAATGTCCATGGCTGTTTCTGATCCTAAGAAGACACAACAAGTGATGTTCTGTGTTGCAGGCATGTACGGCTTTGCTTACAACTTCCTGAAAGAGATAAGCGTTCTATGAAAAGCTAGAATGCATTTGTGGGATTGTCCAAGTGGCAGCTGTTCCAGTGGACATAGCTGCTCTGCGTTTCATAAGCAAGCACGGAACTATGGCATTGTGGGAATTACGATGCTGTCTTTTTTTCTTTCTCCAAACACCTGCAACCACATTCTGTACATGCATACTCCACTAACATGCTTAAGTGGTTTCCAGCCCACCTTACTACATTGTTTGCTTTCCTTTGCAACAGAGGTGCAGCCAGTGTCTGCTTACCCAAGGCCTAGCTGCCCTCTTTCTCTCCAGTGGAGGTAATTCCATTTACAGCGTTCACACACTGCCAGGGTCAGAGGTGCACCCAAACAAGGCATCTAACATTCCGTAAAGCTTTTATTCTTCATTTCAGTTATAGTAGCCAGTTCCTGACACAGCACTGTTACTTCAGTGTAACCCAGATCATGGTAGCTTATTATTGAAAGCATCATGTAGCCATAACAAAACTGTCAGCTCTACAGAGACAGGTTTGAAAGATAGGGGACAGCATAACTTTCGGGGACAATGTTAGATTGTAAAGTTATAGACATGAAAGCACAAGTGCCTTGTGTTTCTTTTACTCTTGTATTGCAGAAGTTCTTAGTGAGTGTTAATTTATACTCAAATAAGATCTGAGCTTATCCAATTATAGATTTAATATGAAAGAGAGTTGTCAATCATTGGTAATACACAGAACTGTGTTGTGTTTTAGACTTGAGTGAGTCGTTCCTCTTTTACTTTCCTTCTCTGTTCGTCAGGCCTGAGGGTCAGGGTTCAGTGGCTGACAGGAATGTTTGTGAGCATGCCCTGCTGGGTGGCATGCATGGAGGCATAGAAGGAGCTTGAGTGGGAGGCTCACTTTTATCTGATCAGAACGCTGCTGTTTGTTGTAACTGGCACGCCTGATGCATCTGCTGAGAGCCCTTATAAGGTATCTCGCTCCACGCCCGCCACAAACAGTATGCACACAAGCACACACAGGCCACACCACACGAATGACTCTTAGAAAGGCTTCACTTTTCCAAGGTGCCTCCCATGTTGGCATGGTGTGGAGAGGGGTAGCTTGTGTTAGAACTGAGGGTGTTACATAAGCTTCAGGTTTTTGCTTCGGTGTGTTGGTGTCAGCACTCCTTCAGTAGCGCAGTGTAATATATGCCAATGTTTGAGTGTGCGTGGCTGCCTGGCAGCTGTGCAAACACTGTTTGGGTGATCTGGGCTTCTCTTGATGTGGTCTGTAAATGAATTGGGCCAAACAGAGCAAACCGTTCCATTTTTTAATCTGATGTGCCCCGTGTCAAAACCGAGGACGATATGGTTTGCCGGAACTATGATCAAAACTTGATTAGTCAGTCCAGTGTTCAGTGCATCACCCATATGTCATTAGGTAATGTTTGACCAGGCCATGTCTGTGCCTAGAGGGCAACAGATACCAGCTTCCTAAATAGACCTCCCTGTGCTGGTCAGGCTTGTCAACAGACTGGACGCATACTAGTGAAGTAGCTGTCTGTGAGTTTCCACAATGACCTTGTCTTTCTTTCTTTCCCAAGCTACTCAGTGATGCCACTGTATTACATCAAATGGGTTATCCCCCCATTCAGTCAGTGTTTCATTCATTGCTCCTTCATTCTTCTCCATATAACCATAAAACCATTATACTGCGTGGGTCCTATATTGACGCTTCCCTGGTGACTACACGCCTTAATCTTTGCTTATAAAGCTTAGTCATAAAGCAAGGCGTGTTAGCACCAGCTACAGCAGTCTGCTAAATAGTAAGCATATGGCGAGAGAGAGGGGAGGGGGACGGGGGTTGAGGGATGGAGAAAGACACCTTCTAAGGTGTGGTCGACATGATGGTAGTGAATAGTATTCACTATGCTAATAATAAATAGATCATTAATAGGCTTCTTGTTTTAATCATATTCCTCAATAAGCCAACAACCAAAACAAAGGAGAGTGTGTTCCTTGGCTGGGAAAATAAAGCATTAACAAATTTGTTTGGTAACCGATGATTCTTTTCAATCAATCGCCCAACCACTCACACAATTACTCCTCTAGTGTCCTTCACCCTCCTTTCCCCCTTTTCCTCTGTTTCCAATATCTTTCTGTTGGCCACATGAGTTCCTCTCACAACACCTTGATGTGGTGTATAGTGAGTTCCTGGTGAGTGCACTTTGTCTCATCCCCAGTCATTCCTTGCTTGTAATGCTTGAGTCATGGCACTAGACGCCTGCTACACCACATGCCACTGGCTGTCCGACTGCGCGTCTGCTTGGCTCGCTTACTGGTTTCTACTACCACAGGCCTCTCCCCTCCCTACATTACCAGTCTGACTGTGAACCCTAACTGGCCTGATGCTGCCCGAAAATGGCTCCAAAGCCACCCACGCATGTCAACAGTGTCCTGAGTGCTTTCTAACTTTTTTTGTCCTGTTGCTGTTTCTGTTTTATGGTTCCACATTTAGGAGATGTGTTTCTTATAATGGAATGGAAACTGGGCTAGTTTAGAAACACGCCTGCTTTGAGAATCAGTCCACTTTATTCCCTTGTTTTCTCTTTTGTCTGGCTTTGCTGTACACCACCTGTTTTTGGAGTCAGCATGCATTGCTGCTTTTGTAATCAGGTGAACAAATGGGGCACAGCCACAGACTTTATGTTTATCAGACCTACAGCATCAGAGTTGTATTGATAGATTGGCCAGCCAAAGCAAAGAATGATAAAGAAGGGTGTGTTTGTGTGGGTGGCTGGCTCTGCGTGTAGGTGAACTCTGTGGGGTTCATGATGAGTTTGGCCTCAGTGACACAGTCAAATGGCAGGTATCTGTGTTCTGGCAGCCATGAAGGAGGTCGAGGAATGGGACTATGTAAGTTTTTGGGCATATCCAGAACATGAGGAGGATTCACTTTCAGAAATGCCATTGTGTTGGTAAAAAGTTATCTTTTGGCTTTGCATAAATTCTCATTAGAGATGCTCTGATGCATCTGCTGCCTGAAACATGTTTATTTTATGCATAGTTACAACGTGTCCATGGCAAATTTTGAGTCATTGAGCAGGAGATTTTACAAGATATGGTCATGGCTTTCATCATGACCAGTCACACTGTCAAATGAAGTAGCACGATATCACTTGAAGTCCAGTCATTCTTGGATGGAATGAGTCAGAGCTTGTCTATGCATACTTATATGTGTTTGTCTAAGAGAGAAATAGAGAAGTGGAGAGAGGGAGATACAGTAGAGACAGCATGAGCATGAGTTTACACATCTGCAATGATATGCGCATGTTGTGGAAATCAGTTCCATCTCTTGTTACAAAACATTA